GAAAAGCGTTGAAAATTCAAGGAGATTGTTTTTGTCGTGCTTATATCGCTAATTATTACTCGTTAAGTGTTCAACGGACGCCAACTAGTTCGATATGACCCCAATCTAGAAATATATTTCAGTTTTCAATGTTGTAATGACATATAAATTGTCATGAGTAAAGAGCATTTATTCCGAACTATATCTGTCACCGCGATTGTGTAATTTCCATGTTTCACTATTTAAATTGGTGTGACTTCGATTGACATATTTAACTTGGTAGTAGTTCGAAGGTTTCAGCACCAAATCGGAAAATATTTGGGGCCGAACAACGCGGAAGTCCATTGTTTCTAATAAATGATTACTATCCCATGAGAATTTGTATCCTGGTCAATAGAAGTATTCTCAGTATTACATCTCTTAATACCTGATGTCAAGCAAATACCCATAAGTGTTAAGTTATGCCCAAAATACATTAAATTATGCGATTAAGACCTGCTTACGTAAAACCGCTCGCCATCATAAGAAAACACAAAATCCAATTAACGCAACAATTGGCTTTCAGAAGTGGAACTTGAGGTGTGCGGCTCATTGAATACATGTTTTGTAATGTCATCATTCCTATGCTGGATAAAAGGTGTAGAGTTTCCGGTGAACGTGTGAGAAGCCGCCTTAAAGTGACTTAAAAATCCCATATCTTAGCTCCCAACTTGTGCAAGCATAATAAATACAATTTTCCTGACAAAATAGGGGATAAGTTGAAGAAAACTGAGCAAATCGAAGCAGGACAATGATTAAGCTCGGTTACAGATGAAAAAGCTCAACGGAGCCAAAATTGAAGATTGTCCGAGCAGCCGATCCATAATTTTCGGTACTCACAGTTGGGTAAAGGATGACTAAATTTGATTTCCAGCCGAGAGCAGCCGATATGAAGTCGTTATTGAACATCCGGCAAAGAAGAGCATGCACTTTTATGATTAATGCACTCAAATCACGTCACTCATTTACTTTACTTTATGTTTATCATACTGAGAATCGCATGGCTTTTGACGCCCAATATACCTGGGGGTGACAAATAATTTTGAAACCGATTTTTCCAAAGAAAATTAACTAATCGGTCAAAAGATGTAAATATGAAAACGTCGGGTGATAACAGATCATGGATTGCTTTTTAGTTGGGCTCCTACGCAAGGCATCTAGGATAGTGCAAGACATTCTACAATGATGCAGCAGGTTTACGGGGCTATCCAGCTTGCAATGCAGAACCTACTTTAATGCTTCATGATTTGCTGACATTCCACCGCCTACCAAAGAAGAATCCCCCTGGAGCTATCTCTCTCTGAAGCGCCACAAATAGCCCTACCCGGATGAGCTCCCCACGGTCCTCTTTAAGGCCCTGTTCAAGAACTGAATTCCTTATTCCAAACGATCTGGAATATAAAATCTATATCATCCGGCTGGAGTTTAGAGAACTTTATGCCTGTATTCAAGGAGGGCCCCTTCACGACCGCCCCAGTCAACATGGGGTCAGTATTATTTCTGTGGGATCCAATATGATCGTATTGTTCATCCTTTGCAGACTCTATTGGATAACAGCACGTCATATCCAAGGAGATCAAGTTGAATTCGCTCCGAATGAGGCTGTGTTTAAACCTTATTCACTCTACGTTAGATCCACACACTGTCAAACGTTTAGTGAACCAGCCATTTTTGTCCCTTTAGATGTATCGGCTGCGTTTGAATCACTGGACAGAACTCCACCCTGTCCTGGTTCAGTAAGGTGCGATGTATCTCAGAATTACCTAAACCTTCTCAAAGCAGTCTACTCAGAAACATCAGGCCGCGTCACTATGTATCATCGCAATCTTTTCTTCATTTAGTTCGTTTATTGAAGTTCGCCAAGGTTGCCCATCTTCAATCTTTCTATTTAATTTCGTAATTCGCAAAATTCTGGGCAGCACTCCAGAAAAGTTTATGGCCCCGGTGTATAGCATATCCCAGGTGATTGATTTCTTGATTAGGAATGTGCAGGAGACATTGTTGAAATCTGCAACTCCTCCGGAGACAAAAGTCGTGCGCAAGTTTGCGTTGCCCATCACACAGCGTCGAAAGCTGCCTCCAACGCATCATCCGAATACATTGGCAAGAGTGTTTCTGTCGCAGAAGAATCTTAGCTTCGGCAATCGTAGTCCGCTGAGTAGCACTATCTCGCTCCAAAATCTGGGACATATGATGCGGATGCGATTTCCTCGACTTGTTGTATTTACGCGAGCCAAAACCAACTGGAAAAGGTGACCAGGTGAACAATGAATAACCTGAGCTGGACGGATAAAGGGGTCGCTCCGAAAACTGGTAGTTTTAGGACGCTTTATGGTCCCAGATCGGGATCCCAGGACAGTGAACATCTACAGCTCTAGATACGTCACGGCCCGCAACCAGAGTCAATACATCAGGCGTCGTTGATTTTCTTTCGCAAAGTCTTCGCGCTTCTTTCTTCATGTGTTGTGGCACATTCAACAATTCTATATAATTGATTTGAACCCCGCCACTGAAATCCAGCTTTGGTCATAGGCAGATTCGCCTAACCTAGTAGATCTTATGTGGTTCGCCACGACAAGTTCCGTTGTCTTAGGTTGCCGGGATTCCATGGGTAAATATTAGGTCCAATTGACTACAAGGTTCAACTCGTCTGCTGTTCATCACACAAAAAGGTGTGCAATAACAAATTGTTTACGTACCGCATAAACATATCAAAAACATTTGAAAATTCACACATTTCCAGGATAAAGGTCCATGACAAATAGCACGCTATGTTTGTCATAGAAATTATCTACATCTCGTTATATATTTTCTCTCATTTACGCAGTTACCAAATTGAGAAAATCTAAAGTATAATGTATCCCGTTACCACCTTACAACCCGAATTAAAATGTTATTGAGAAACTCTCTCTGTGTGTAAGTCAGCTCCTAAAAAATCGCCCTTGGTGTTCAGGATACAGCCTGTACAGTAGGCAGCTGGTAAAAACGATCTGACTAATAAATTGGTGGACTCCAAGTCCAAAAGATTGGCTCAGGTGCTCAAGACGGAAGTAAGATGCAAAGAATAATGATAGAATAAAAATGCAATATTTGTGTCATGCCTCTCCAACATTTTCATAAGTGTAGTCTCGTTACATGTTTGACTGATTTGCTCCGTCAACTTCCAACTGTTGTGATACTACCGGTCGTGGAAATTCAAGAAATTCTATGGTTGTAGGGCATTTAACAAAAAATCAAATGTATGAGTGAATACTGGCATAGAAATGCTGTGCGATATTATTTATCACGTACACAATGCTCAAGAATAAGATACTGAGATGAAGGGATTTGGTGAAATTCAGGGTGTGGCACGAGTTTGGTCAATGTCCGTTTGATTTTGATCAGTGGTAGCGAGTTGCGAAAGTGGTAAAGTTTCAAAGTTCTGAATACTGAATGATGAATGCTGAATACCGCAGTAAAACAAACTCCGCATTTTATTTCAACTCTGAATAAAGGAACAAATATTCTTTTTAAGCCTTTCCTTGTGGTAGAAAAATAACACCATTAGTAGATTGTGCAGAAAGTACTTGCGCGATAAAACCAGCCCTCAAATTCAACAAATAGAATCTTCATAGAATAATGAAGATTCATAAAGAAGATTCATAATAATGGTGGTAGATAATGCTATATATATCATATATTTATATATATTTTCGAAGTGAGCAACAAAAGACAAATCGATCGCACGCCCATTCTCAATTCTCCGTTTTAAAAAACCGCCTAAAGAAGTTTACTTGCAGGCTGTCTAACACCACACCCGATATTCGAAACTGGTTACCTTTAGGCATTTGGTTCTTTGGATGCATTCCTGTAGTACAACTGGAAGATAGCCCTTACGTTTTACGAGCATTTTGTGGTAACAAAAATGGTATTGACATAAAACAAACAGGAAATTCGGTTGTTTTTACCTGTCAATCAATTACGGTGAATAGGGTTAATATCATAATCGACTGACCTTTTGTGTCAACTAATCGGTTTGTGTTTTGGTAATCATGATTACCAAGTTGTGCCAGGAAGTTTAGTAACATCATTATACTCCTTTATCTAAGACACTCAGGTCAACTCATTGGTCAGTTAGCATGCAGGGTTTCGCAAACTATGGTACTTATTCGGTAAAACTACTGTGTCTTAGCATAGCAGCCTTAACCATGATAAATAAGCTACTCCACAGAAAAAATGACCCAAATGTAAGCGTTTGGTCGGTTGCCCCGTCCTCAAGTCAACTTAAGAAATGATTTGCGGACCTAGAGGGTGAATTTTCAGCAATTTCCGAACTTGTACAGGGGATATATATTGCGATTAGAAGAAAATAAATAAAAACGAAATCGGTACAATTACTAATCCACATTCACTGGTGTGGGTGACAATTTTCGCACGATTAACCATTAGCCGAATCAGATATGAAATTACGATGTTTCTGTTTTAGGATATTCGTGCACAGAGAAGTTGATATTTGGAGCTTCCTCCTCGGTTGTCTTCATGCCAGTTTCATCTATCTACACTGAATTTATGTTTGGGACAGAGTGACATAATAGGAAATAATTCTAACTCGCAAGTTACTTGTTTTATATATTCTCAAAAGTATAGAAGAAATGAAAAAATTAACCACTTAACCATATGTTAAAGTTGTGGAGAAAGTCATCTGAAACGCATTCATGTTATCATCATTTGTGTCACTAAAGAATCATATCCGCTGGTATGCAGACCCAATTTCATGACACCGTGAGCTCACACCACACAATCTACCAATTTCACACTGTTCATTTATGTACAGGCCAATTCTGTCTTACTGGAACAGTTCACCTAAACGATCTATTGTGCCGAGGCGTACGTTAAACGTCGATTTTATCAAATTTTCTGTTTTTTTCTTCCTCTCCCTCTCTATCGTTGTGCCTCTGTATCTTTATCATACGCTGTCCGGATCTGATAGTCCAACGCACAAAATGTATCATCTCTGCCGGAAGCGGCAATCAAACAGTCAGCGCAATCGAAAACCATCATTTTCGGACAATCGGTATTCAACGCGAGTTCAGCCGGTCTCTCGGTAAGTACAGCGTGTAACTGGTATATAATAGTTCATTATTTTGTGGTCAATGACGCCGGCTTGTACACCCCTTACAAATGTGCCAGTTGTCATCATGATTTGACTACCCCTGGAGGTAATGGTCTGTTGGTTACCACTGGATTGTGGTGCTTTAAGGTAACCAACTGATGAGAGTGTGTGGACAAGGGCCATAGCGGTTTGATTGAAAAATCTTTGCTTTGGCTACATGGTGACTACTTCTTCGCTTCTTACCCGTTTAAAATGAATCAGTATCACGACGAGCAGGAAAAGTCAAGGAAGTTCTGGTGTTCTTGTATCAGTTGGGCTCCTTTTCACGTAGTGTATGAAATAAAGATCTCGAAAATTGTGGCAGGCTAATTCGATTTCAATTCTATCACGGTTTTTCTCAGACAGTTTCCACCTGATCAAGTACATGCTGTATCATTAAGACAACTGTTGATAACATGTTATGTTTAATAAATTACGAAATAGATTACAGGATTTCACTTTATCATAATGCTCTTCATTCTAAAGATATAGTTATCTTTCAAATTCGGAGATCAAGTATATAAAATTATGAAATCCGGCTGAAAACTGTCTCTCTGCGTCTACTTCTTTCCCATCACACTTTTTTTGGTGCCAAAAGTACTCACCTTGAGCACCACCTGATTTTGAAACATTGGCGTTGGTGGCCCGATAGTAATTACCACATCGGGAAACGTGTATTCGAACCCTGTCACCACCGCCTGACTTTTCCCATGGGAACCCTATGATTGGCCGCTTCCCCTTTCCTGAAAATTGTATCATTGTGTATTCAATAAAAGGAAGTAAAAAAGCTAAAAATGTTGGGGCCTGGTGTGGTGAATCATCCATCATCTCATTGGGATCGGTGTGTTGGTAAGCTAGATGACAGCAAATCTGTCTACCATTCAAGTTGAGGTGAGGTGACAGAGTTAAAATCTCGGACCTCAGTGTCTGAAACATGCCAACGTCAATTAGTTGAACCACCTGACCACCGATGCTTCGACAACTGAATCGGCGACGAGGCTCTAATATTTGACTGCATATACTGGCATATTCAGTGCCAAAGATCATGCGAGATAACTATAACGCGAAATCATCCGCAAGAGTTGTTCCCTAAATCTCGTGGCGATGTGCTAAAATCCAAGCTTTTGGATTTGTCCCGGGATTATGAGCTCCCTCGTTCTGCGGAATTGGTATTAAATATTAATTTATATTTATTAATTTGTATTTATTCATTCACAATCAAAACAATGGTGGCGTGGTTAACCCAGATGCAGAAATTTTCTGTATATAAACCACTGTGCCTACAGTAATCGTAAAATGGTTCGAATAATCTTGTCTCAAAAAGATGCAGAAATTAAAATCAAGTTACTGTTTCCCCAGAAATGAAGTAAAGCAAGCGCCCATAGATCACATCTTATAAGACCGAAATCAACACATAAATAATAATAGCGACTCAATCGTTGCTGGAGATTTCTGTTTGACCATTCAGTGCATTGAACCAGTCAGTCTATATCAGTGCTATTACTGGCAATGTAACACATTTTCTATTCTCAGTTATCATGGTCACACTGCATGCCACTTCTTCGATTTCAGTTCGGCGTTTTCTGCATAATGCAATACACATGAGACGGCGTTAGAATAAAACTCACAAGAATTCGGCGATGGCATGCTGGTGGTTTTGCCTGGAATACCTCCATTATTGGAATTCCTGTGATAATCATCATTAAAGCATACAATTTTGTAAAAATTGTATGCAGTTTAGATGGGGTAGAAAAGGAACCAACTTTGGCTTTTATCGCTTTAACTAAATGCATACGAAGAGACATCAATGCATAGTGGTGATTCTGATATGTTTTACCAACTTATTAGCTCGATCACTGCAGCGAAACGAATTTTTTTCAGTCATCCCGTTCCGATTCTAGTTGCTAGACTGCCATGTCCACCCTCGGTTTTGTGTTTATAGTAATGGGATGCTAGTTGATAGTCCTTACAACGGAACAGTGGAGCATCATGACCATGGGATTGCATAAAAACACTGCATTTACGGTTGAGCTCCTAGACGAGGATTTTCCAATCACTGGATAAATGACGCAGTTAATAGTCCTGACAAATTCACGACATTTACTGTAAGTCTTATACAGGTCTGATCGAAACTGAAGCAACGGGTCCCTGTGAAACACTTGTGGGTTTATATAGGCAACTAGANGTAAGGATACATAAGTATAATTAAGCCTCCAATCCCATAACTTTTGATATTAATTTCAATGTTTAGAAAAATACACCAAGGTTGATCATGTGCAACCTTAAGCCCACAATAAACGTGCTGTCTATTGTTACTATTACCGTTTTTTGCTGAGAAGGAAAGATTGGTAAAAGGAGTTTTGCTTAGTTCTACAAGCTGATCATGTTGAAGCTCATTTTTCTGCAGCCCCACAAACCCTGGACTTATTCACGTTCAAGTCGTATATTTATTGCTAATCAAAATTTCATACTTTTCCGAGACCCAATTGAACCCTATTGTAACCCCAATGACTGGACTGGGTTTTAACCATATTTGTTCTTTTTATCATTTAAATTCAGTTTCTCAATTCTATACCTCTGTGGATTATTCCTTTTTCCATTTGCCACTATGATATATGTTCTTGGTATGGTTCACCAATGCAAGTTGGCATTACTGGCGTGTCGTAACCCATATGGCTCGAGGTCTCAACCTTTCCATTGCTCCCACCCACACTTCAACTTTAGTGACTGACTTTCATTTTTCCTAACATCAAGCCAATCCCAGTGGACTTAATGCGCTTTGCTACTGTATGCCCATGAGCTCTTTTTGCCGATTGTCTTAAGTGAAGAATGATCGTGGGGATTCGGTTTAGTGCTGTTCGTTGCACAGTAGTAGGTGCTAGAATAACATCATCATAGCGTCCAAACCGTAATAGAAGAAAAGTTTCTAGGGAAGAATGGAAATTGCCAAATATCCATGGTTCCCAAATGTAAGAGTTTGCAATGATTGGCAGAGCAAGTCACATTTGAATCTTTCATATGGATGTGATTTCAACGGATAAAATTTAGAATCCGTCAGTGGTGGCTAATGAGTAGATTGCACAATTTGAAAAATATGCATCACACAGCTCTTCAATTAGGTAATTTGGTCACATTTATCCATCTCTATCCCCCTCTGATCAACTTTTCATTTCCCTCTTTTCAGGTTCTTCTGGTTTTCCCAAAGGCAGACAAACAAACAAAGTTTCTCATCGATGCAACAGCAAAGCTGAACTATCACTGCTCGCTAATGTTGCTCAACTATGCTGCATTAACGGCCGTGGATAAGAACCAGGCTGGTCAGAAAGCTAACTCATGGTTGGAACAAGTTCAACTGGATCGAGTGAGTATAGAATTCTGTCTGTCTGTCTGTCTGTCTGTCTGTCTGTATGTATGTATGTCTCGTTTCCTGTCCATATGTCTGCCTCACTGAATATTGCAGTCAATTCTACTATGTGCTAGACGCCGAAGGAATTTTGGTGTTGTGTTAATCTCCACTGCACATTGATGCTTGACACTCACAACCGAATCGTCAGGGTTGTGTTTAGACGTCAATCGCTCAATGGTTCTATTGGAAAAAAATAAAATGAGTACTGCAGACATTGTAGATTAAACGCATTGGGACTTGGATTGGCGGATTACTTTAGCGAGATCGACTGATAAATGATGCAACCACTAGGCATCTACTTTTCGGCATTCCTCTTTATATTAGTTCAGCAATCAGTGTTTATTATTGCCTCGTTCCGGGGGTCGTTTATCTCTGCATGCGTGAAATTGTTAATACAATGTAGGCTTCAAATACCAAAAACTATTTTCCGACAGGAGTTCAATGAATGTTGTACTGAACAGTTTCTTGTAAAAACGTCTCTCAAGGAGGTGGTGTTGAGTAGCATCAACAGAACTTGCTAAAATGCCAGATTGTAAAATGCGCAGTATCTGGATGATTTAAAAAACTGTCATAGAATCATACAAATATTTTCACCGTTCTTGATTCTTGTTGTTTACATGTATCCGTAAAGCGCCATCTGTGCCTTAACTGCTTAGACGCATACCCGTGCAGTGCCGTGAATATTTTTGAAAGCTGGTCCAGAAGTTATGGCGTGATTTTTTGACCGGAGGGCTTCCATTGCCGTGACCGTTTCGAAGCGGCCCAGCACTCCTAATGGGAAATCAGAGCGGTTTACACCCTGATAAGTACTGATGAAATACAGAAGGAGGATACCAAACAGTTTATCATACCAACTGAATCTCAACTTTATTAACGGTCAATGTGAAACATATCCAGCTGGCAAGCAGAATACAGCTTTCCGGTATTTTTAACCGCCATTCGGCATAACCAATACGTCGATTGTCCTCCAACAGTAAAGGGATACGGTGCTGTCAACTCTTACTTGAAGAGTGCCCGGACCAGTTAATTTGCTTCATCGCGTAATAGACTTCAAAGCACCATGGAAGTTTGCTGTACCCATTCAGACACTACGTGATGCATAGTCATCAGAAATCAGCCAATGGAAGGATTTTGCTTAAACAAATTAGACCTAACCTATCAAACCAGACTTCAATTAACGTTAAGATTCACTTGTGAGTTCCTTAAAAGGAGTTTGTTCAAAGAATTAATTCCGGAGGTACAGACGTGATTTTCATCAAAAAGCCCTACTTGTTTTGTTCAAGCGCTGTCCGAATGAGGCACGTGACCGAATCAAACCGGCAATCGCTTCGATTGTCACGTGATGTGCAGTCTGACAATTCAGCTGATCGACAGAAACAATTGCCCATTTACCAATGTCACAAAATGGAAAGTGTTTCATTTTTTGTTTTTCATACACTGATACCGTATTATGCATTACGCTAGCGACCGACGGAGGTTATTTGTGACTTTGTTCATGACAGATTAACTACTCTGTGCAACCTAGCTGTAGTGGTCATGTATCACCATGGACCCTAAAACACAGTAGCACACAATCACTATGCACAAGATGACTATTTATCACTTCAGTAAAAAAGATGCTAGCTGAACACACCCGAATATGGTGAATTAGTTTATTTGATTTGTCATTCTGTGTATCATTGTAGCACACAAATATAACCATATCTCCGAAACCCAACTGATTCCATTCGTGTATTGTCCTACCTGATTGATCCGTTTTCAGCCGATTGATTTAGTGATTATCGATCGACGTCGAGGTTTGTCCAGTTCGTCCAGTCAGACCCGATCGTCCAATAATCTTACCCAAGCGGCCGATCTTATACGACAGACGTTATCCGTCCGACCGGAATTCTCTCATGCTGTGATTGCCGCTTTGATACCCTTGCGAAGGTAATCTGCTCAACTCGCAACTAGTAGACCGTTCTTTTCGATATGTTCGTGTGTGTATGCCTGTCGATTTCCGTTGTCTTAGACCTACGGATCTCATAGAAACCAGGATTCCGCCGGCAATTAATGTTGTTCGAACTCTTAATTATATTGTTCATGACCGAGGTAAAGATCACAACAGAATCGGAATTCCCATTGCCTCGGATATAAAATAAATCCTTGTTGGATGCGCGTAGACTAAGGGTGGTTTGTACTCAACTCCGTGGATAAACACAGTGGCATATGGAACCAGCCAGCCAGTGCCGAACAGCTGCTATCTGCCGAGATAAACAAACTTAATTCACCCTATCTCGTTAATTGTGCTCATATTCTCGCAAAATTTTGTCCTGGAATCAGTTTGAGACAGATTGCATTTCTTCGCAGAGACCCGATGTCTGGAGAATCTTTCTGTTTGATGTAGCTTTACCTTTTCTATGGATGCACCTTTAACCAGGGAGATACATGTATCAGGGAGTAGATTTGCAAAGCAAATTTTCTTCTTTTGATGTATGAGCACACGAAATCAACGATCTTTTGTGTGCTCAAACCAACAGTCTGTATCACACATTCCAGAAATATTTGGGAGTAAGTTGTCGGGGATTAAATTGAGAATTATTCTCTAGCAGCTTTTTACTAGATTCCGGGAACACTAAATTCTCTGAGGCAGCCCCATTTCTGGGTATAGGAGATACCAGTGCTAATTCGATTACCAGACGTTGACCATGGGACCACATTGGTTTCCGAGTAAATTCACGAGTCATTATGAAAATGAGTGTCAGGGCCATCATTGGTTGATGTCCGGCGCACAGAAATTTTCCCGATATCATTTATATTACAATTCTTCCATCCGTTCATTCGATAGATATCAAAAGTTACCACAGTAAATTGAAATGTTAGATTAGGGTAAAGTGATGGGGCTCAAACTGTGACATTTTGAATGAATGGCCAATACCATCGAAACAATTCAGGATATTTCAAAGCCGCAAAATTAATGGAACCATTATAATTGCCTCCCCTTAGTTAAAAACAACCCTTAAACCAATGATGATGATTATTACCTGGTCACGCTTTTATAATTCATACAGAACACAAAAATGCACTTACGTTGCTCGCCAAACAAACCAATTGCTTATGGGCTGTTTTCCTAAGGCTCGTATAGCAGCATTTACACAAAGTGGCCTATCATAGTAAATGACACTGTAGTTATTCTGTTTTAGGCTTTCTGATTTTGTCACTGCAGTCAGGTGGGTGACTGGATTGAAGCGTTTCTCCGGTGAGGGACTGTATAATTTCGGGTTTCCGATTCGCTATCCGATTCATTTGATGTTGAACGCGGGATGGATTACCAATCCGTATTTGGTCCCCCAACTTTTCCTCACATTTGTATTGGTCTATTGAATAACCTAGGAACAAAAGCAAAACTGTTAGCAGACGATGCCAAAATCAATAATACAGTGATTCAATCTGATGACTAACAAGGAATCCAGGATGCGCTCATAGTAGCTCATAAATTGCCCCCGAAGGCCGACACCTGATTCAGGATTTTTTAAAATTTAACATCCAATCTTCACTGTTTTAGGTTGACTTCCGTATTTCCGCGAAATTTAACAACTTCTCCATGTTTCAACTGAGAAGGAAGGCATTATTGTTAAACAGGACTTAAGGTGTTCAATCAAGTGCA